CCTTTTCCCAGAAGTCCCCGCAGCAAACCAATGACAATTTCTTCCCACTTGGGGTACAGGCCTGGACCCAGCGTTATGGATTATATGATCGTAAAGTTGCCAGGCGTTGTGGGCTGCCGTAGAAACTGCCCAGAACACGGAAGACGAATGCACAGCTGCAGTCTATAAAAATGTCACAGCCTCAGAAGAAGCTGCCGGTTCGGGCTCTGATACTGCGCGACGCTCACATTGATTAGAGAGAGTATCTGCCACAGTTATTTTGAGTCCATCCAGGTTCTCCCCAGGGCCTCTTCCTAGAGTGGTCTTTTCCCCCTCAAACGGCTCTCTCGCGGCCATGTGTTGAACAGGCAGGCTCCTTCTGCTGTCTACGTGCTTTCCCAACCTGAGAAGTTTGGCGCAGCAAAGACCAGACTTCACCTAAGATAACGCACCTCTGCATGCCAACCCTGAAGTCCCCAGAGGGAAAATCCAGACAGAGAAAGGCCTTTCCGACTCCTCCCAGACTCTTCCCAACCGTCCCAACCTCGAGTCCCATCGCATCCCACTGGACACAGCACGTGTCGGCCCCAGGGCAGCGCTGGCCCATTCGCCCAGCAGGCCAGGCGCACGCACACCTGCAGGCCTTTTGCTCAGGCACTTCCTCTTTCTGGCTGCTGTCTTCTCGCTTGACAAAATACAACCCAACCACTGCTGGTTCCCAAAGTACCCTGATAAAATGGCCTATCCTCTAAGAAGTCCCTTCACCCCAGAAAAGGGCTTCTCACCCCAATGTTCCCACCAACAGCCCCATCATGCTGCGTGCCTGGCCCTCTCCCAAAAGCTTACAGTCGGGTGTCCCCTGCCCCGTCCTCTGGACTATCCATCCCCGAGGGCAGGGAGCTGCTCGCTCCAGGCTGGAGCTTCAGCACCCGGGGCAGTTCCTGGCTCTGTAAGCATTTGCTGAATTAAATTACAAGGCTCTTCCGATCCTATCATAACAACGGCTCTCACTGAGCAAGCATCATAATGGACCAGGCACATTACCTTCAGTCCTCACATGAACCAGAGACCTTATGTATCAGCAGCTCCATTTTACTGATGGAAAGCAATTCAAGCTCAGAGACGTTAAGTCACTTGCTCAAGGTCACACAGCAAATAGCTGACTGAGCTGGGGCTCCAACCTCGGCAGTTGGAGCCCTGACTCTTTCCTCTGCACTAGGAAACTTAACATCTCTTTTCATCACAGAAGAGCTCAAACGTTCACAAAAGTCAAAACAGACACACGCCTCAAAACTAAAGATGAAGAGAGAGCAAGGAATGAGATGACTTCAAGATCAGACCCAAAAGCAAAGGAGAGGGGCTAGGTGTCTCCGACCTAGGCTGCTACCAGGGTAGCAGCTGCAGGAGAAATGCCCCATGGACACGGCCAAGGAACAGAGTAGGTCCAGAGGGAACATGTGTGGAGGGTGACCCTGCAGTTTCAGGGGTCCTCTGGACAGGTTTCTGACCCCAGTCCCTCCCCAGGGCCACACACGATAAGGCACAGTTGCCCCCAAGCAAACTCGGTTTGGTCCAACCTCTCCCCACAGCAGCATCTTTCCCCAGACCCACACCCATGCCCTCACCCACACACGGATGCCATCAAGGTTGCATCTACACTGCAAATTCTCAAACCTCCGCGGGAATTTTTCAGACTCAGCCAAGAAGAGTCTGGGGCAAAGTGTGCTCACTAATTGCTGACCTTGGTACAGACTTGGATCCTGGAGACAGCCCACAAGGAACATGCTCAAAAGTTATCAAAATAGATATGCGTTTCCAGAGAGCCGGGGCAGGTGCCCGGCAGCCTGGAAAGAAGGAGGAGGCAGGCTTCAAAGCAGCTGGCATGGTCTCCAAAGTCCAGCTCAAAAACCTCCCGAGGCCGTCCTCTCTGTGAGCAGCACAAAGGCCCTGCATGTGACCAAAACCTACACACACAGCCATACATAGGGACTCCCGCCCTGAGGTGACACCACTACACCAGGAATTCACACAGATGCATATTCTGCAAGGAATCTGGGGAAACAAATTATATAGGTCTGTAAACACACACACATGCTAACCATCCACATGCACACACACGCCCTCCCAGTCTCATCGGGTCTAGAAAGGGCCGTTTCGCCCGCTAGCCAGATCAACAAGGACAACCAAACCACTGACTTGAGGACAGCTGAAATCCCTTGACTGAAGAGGCCAGCAACCTTCTACAGGAACAAGGCTCTTTGTGCAATCCATCCACTATGTTTATAGCTATGCTTATTGTCATTGCTTGCCAGTCTTCTTCCGAGTCTTAAACAGCCCAATCTGAGAGGTGGCCACTGATTTACACGCGCTATCATTTAAAAAACAAAAAAGGGGGAATTTGCTGGAAGCCGGTCCATCCTTGCTGCTTGACACAGTCGCTGCAGGGAAGAAACATCTGCACAGCATATGTTTCAAGGGACCTGGCATATATAGCATATTGTTCTTAATATGTTTGCTCTCCTTAGTGCCATGTGTTTTAACCAAGGTCACCTCTCCGAGAAAGGTTGTTTCCCCAGGTGGGGATTTTTCCCCGAGGTTAGGGAGGGGATACAACCCCTTAACTAAGTGCCAGGCGGGTAGTTAAGCTACATAATCTTTACTCCCTGGAATGGAGATAAGAAACGCCCTAACCTTTGTAATAGAAATTGACAGGATTAAAATCGGCTGGTATAAATATAGATGTAACAAGACAATAAACATCAGATCCTGATCAGTTCCTAACCAGAACTCCGACCAGAACTTTGGCTGGAGATCCTGGCTAGAGGTCCTGACTAGGCTGCTGATCAACTGAAGGCTGTCTCCGTGTCATTCCTTCTTCGCCGACTCCGTCCACACCTTTGGGGACCCCTGGACCTGCTGGGGTTGGACCCCAACATGGGGCAAAGTGTGCTCACTAATTGCTGACCTTGGTACAGACTTGGATCCTGGAGACAGCCCACAAGGAACATGCTCAAAAGTTATCAAAATAGATATGCGTTTCCAGAGAGCCGGGGCAGGTGCCCGGCAGCCTGGAAAGAAGGAGGAGGCAGGCTTCAAAGCAGCTGGCATGGTCTCCAAAGTCCAGCTCAAAAACCTCCCGAGGCCGTCCTCTCTGTGAGCAGCACAAAGGCCCTGCATGTGACCAAAACCTACACACACAGCCATACATAGGGACTCCCGCCCTGAGGTGACACCACTACACCAGGAATTCACACAGATGCATATTCTGCAAGGAATCTGGGGAAACAAATTATATAGGTCTGTAAACACACACACATGCTAACCATCCACATGCACACACACGCCCTCCCAGTCTCATCGGGTCTAGAAAGGGCCGTTTCCTCCAGAATTCAGAAGTGAGAGATGTGGAGAGAAACTGTGGTTTTGTGACCTGTCATGGTCAATGCCTTTAACCTCTTGTCTCCCACTCCAAGCCCCTGACCTCTCAGCTTTATTCATGGAATTCTTGGTCCAGGTCGCACCTATCCCTCTCTCCCTCTCTGGGTGCTGAATGTAACAAACCCTAAGCCCCAAACCCAAATCCCTCAGGTCCCATTGTCTGCCAGGGCTGGGGATGGCTGGATATGGGAGCAAGGGGGGCGGAGGGTGAGGAGCGCAATGCCAGACACCTACAAGGGAAGAATTCTTACGGTTCTGGGGCAAACAATGGGGAGGAAGGGAAAGACAAACTTCCACTCCATCCCGTCATGCCCCCCAGCACCAGCCTGCAAGTCCTCAGAGCCCACATCCACACACCCCACTCCCACGTGCCCAAAAGGAGACATGGTTCCTGGCAAGCGCGAGGAGCTTCCCTCCTGGGTGCCAGGAAGGCTTTCTGGCACCAATCCGCAAGCACCAGAGGAATAGAGTGCTGGTGCAGTGGGAGGGCCTGCCAGTGCTGAGCGCAGGGTGCAGGTGTGAGGATGGGAGCTGACAGCCCCGCCGGGAGAGAGCCCTTTGAATCCCGAGAAAGGAAAACAGTGGCGCTCTTGGCTCCTGGCTCCTGGCTCCTGGCTCCAGGCTGGTTCCTGGTTCCTGGCTCCTGACTCCAGGCTCCTGCTCCTGCCTCTAGAAAGGGCCGTTTCCTCCAGAATTCAGAAGTGAGAGATGTGGAGAGAAACTGTGGTTTTGTGACCTGTCATGGTCAATGCCTTTAACCTCTTGTCTCCCACTCCAAGCCCCTGACCTCTCAGCTTTATTCATGGAATTCTTGGTCCAGGTCGCACCTCTCCCTCTCTCCCTCTCTGGGTGCTGAATGTAACAAACCCTAAGCCCCAAACCCAAATCCCTCAGGTCCCATTGTCTGCCAGGGCTGGGGATGGCTGGATATGGGAGCAAGGGGGGCGGAGGGTGAGGAGCGCAATGCCAGACACCTACAAGGGAAGAATTCTTACGGTTCTGGGGCAAACAATGGGGAGGAAGGGAAAGACAAACTTCCACTCCATCCCGTCATGCCCCCCAGCACCAGCCTGCAAGTCCTCAGAGCCCACATCCACACACCCCACTCCCACGTGCCCAAAAGGAGACATGGTTCCTGGCAAGCGCGAGGAGCTTCCCTCCTGGGTGCCAGGAAGGCTTTCTGGCACCAATCCGCAAGCACCAGAGGAATAGAGTGCTGGTGCAGTGGGAGGGCCTGCCAGTGCTGAGCGCAGGGTGCAGGTGTGAGGATGGGAGCTGACAGCCCCGCCGGGAGAGAGCCCTTTGAATCCCGAGAAAGGAAAACAGTGGCGCTCTTGGCTCCTGGCTCCTGGCTCCTGGCTCCAGGCTGGTTCCTGGTTCCTGGCTCCTGACTCCAGGCTCCTGGCTCCTGCCTCCAGGCTCCTGGCTCCTGGCTCCTGGCTGGAGCAGGACCCTGGCAGGCACTGACTCGTCTACTGGCTGCGAAGCCCAGCCCCGGCGGTCCTACCCCCAGTTCTGAAGTGCGTCTGAGAGGGAAGGCCACCTCGGGGCTCCCTGCGGGCGAGGGCGGGGGTGATACTCACAGGCGCTCGGTGTTCCGTGGGATGTTCTTGGGGATGGCCTGCAGCCCCGTGCCGTGACAATCCACCGTGGTGCCCGTGCAGGTGCAGAGGGCGGGGCACGCC